AGCTCATGCCAGGGTGGATGGCTCAGAAACACTCACTTTGCTGATGATAAAAGAGAGGTAATGATGCACTGAGCTGTTAAGCGTCTAAGGTGACGGGGAGATGACTCTACCCCAGGCGTTATTCTGGACCATCATAACTCCCTTTGGTGCTGGTGGAGGAAGACATCCACAAAAACATGCAAAACTCCCAAAAACTTCTCCAAGTATGGTGAACTCCTTACCTTCACACAGTAATCCCCGGCCACCAGGAACTTGCTACTGCAGATGCAGCCATGGAGTCGGGACTTCTTCTCTGTCTGATGCAGCCTGCAGACAGACAGAATCAATGTCAAACCATGCTGGCGATGGACCCATCCCCACCTTGGGGCTCCCTCCTGCCACATAGGGGATGGACTGACATGCACCCAGAGAAGCCAGCAGTTCTCTGCCTGTCTTGGCGGACTAATCCTGCCATTTAGCAGCTGCTAAAAGAGCCACAGTGGTCAAAATAATGAGCCTTGCAGATGAGCAGGACCGGCTGTGCTGTAGGGTGCTCCTGAAGCTGCCCTACAGATGCAGGGAAGGGGTTTTCTCCCTTCCATCCTTTGCAGGCTTGAAGCCTGAAGGAGGGGCCTTTGTGGGGCCCCTTGCAGGGGCTCGTGACCCGGGGAGATGAGTGCTATTGCATCCAAACCCACTGCCTACCTCTTCACCATCCTCTGATGGGAGGCTTCCCGTGGTGGTGGAACAGGATACCACTGCTTACTGAGGGATACCAGGAAGCTGAGCACGGCTTGTGGACCGTCAGGTGGACTTACTCACCGATTTAGACAGCAGCTCACCTGTAAAGGCCTCTGGCGGCTCCCAGGGCCATCCGAATGCGGACCTCCCAGGAGAGATGCCGTTGCTTGGTCAGCACATCCCGCAGTGTCCCGTGCTTACAGTACTCCATGATGATGGAGAAGCAGGGGCTCCCATCTGCAAGGCAAACCCTTGAGCATCCCACCTTTTGCCACCCCTTGGGAGGGGACAACGACAAACCATCTGTCAGCAGCTAGCATCGGGGACAGACAGGGGAGGGAAAGGGTGACATTAATGCAACACCTCCTACCTTTCTCCTCAATGCAGATCCGGGGAGGGAAAGGGTGATATTAATGCAACACCTCCTACCTTTCTCCTCAATGCAGATCCCGTACATGCGCAGGATGTTTGGAGACTCAAATTTCTTCAGGGTCTGAATCTCCTTCTCAAAGATGTCTCTCACCTTCCTGCAGAAAGGGACAGCATGGTGAGATCCCTGGAAGAAGGCATGATATGGCACTGTGCCACCCTCCCCTCCTGGCTGCCCCGTGTCGCTCCCACCCAGGACAACTCACACCGGGTCGGTGGTCAGTGGCCTCTTGAAGGTTTTGATAGCAACGGGATATTTGAGGTACTCGCCCTCGTAGAGGTCATAGCTCTCGGTGTCCTGCAGGTGTCTGTAGAAGATGAGGTGGTCCCGCTCGATCTCAGTGATGTCCTCTCTTTTACCAACATTGACCTTCTTCAAGCCTGCTCCCACCATGCGCCAGGAGGGAACGAGGGACACGTTAGGTAGGGCTCAGGGTGAAAGGACACAGTGCACAGGGTACCTAGAGGTGCAGCGCTGACTTACACTCCATCACATGCACGATTTTGTTCAGCTCGCTTTGCATCCACTCTACCTTGCTCTCCATACATTGTCTGTCAATGTAGATCTCCCTGGCTGCATTTTCAGGCTCCTCTGTACCTGGGGAGAGAAATGTGCAGAGGTGGGGCCGCTGGATGAACATGCAGGACTGATGCGGTTAGTTTTTCTCGTGGTTTAAATGTCCCTTTGGCTCTCCTTGGCCATGGCCATCAAGCCAAAGCTGGGCAGCAGTCAGGGAGAGGTGCCAACTTCCAGTCTCAGGGCAAGAGGGTTTGCTAAATGCACACTTACTTGCGATCACCTGGTCCAAGAAAGCCCTGTCGTCCCTCAGGTCCTCAGCATCCTGCCTGCGACAGGTCTTTGCCTGGAAAGCCTCCAGGAAAGCCTGCTTCTGCTCTGCCTGCAGCAGGAGTGAGAGCCCCTGGGCAATGTCCTCCAGGCTCTCATTCACCCAGACGAACTCCTCACCGGCACTGCGGGCTCTCAGGAACTTCTGGATCCAGCTGGTCTGGCTATATTTCATCACCAGTTTCTGGGCTTCCCCCAGTGCCTGGAGCAGCTTCTTCAACAGTTCCTCTTCATGGTGGGAGATGTGCTTTGGTGGCTGAGCCTTGAGGATCCTCACGGGCTCCAGCAGGATCTGGATGCGCTCCACAAGGCGCTGGCACTGGTGCTTACAGCACTTCACCTGCTCAAATTGGGCATAGATGCCCTGGGCCACGGAGAGGACCCTCTCAACGATGTCCATGCTTGCAGCAAAGGGCTTGGCCACAGGGGCCACAGGCTGGCAGAGTCTGGTGGAGGTGAGCCTCGGGCACCACTCAGAGATCAGCCAGATGCAGCTCTTCCACGCCTTCCACCCTAAGGAACAACCTTAACATGGCACACCGCCCTTCAGGTCTCCTATAGCCCCTTATATCTCCCCTGGCTGCTTTGCTTTCTCTGCTTTGCCTGGCACCATGGCTGCTGGTGCGGATTGGAGTGGGCACTTGCAAACAGAGACATTGGTAGCAGCAGTATTGGCTCATCTTGCTCTGCATTAGCAAGAGATGTTTTGGCTTGATTTATGTAAATTAATTTAGTGTTAGCCATACCCAGAGAGCTTACACATAGACAAGCAAGGTCAGCAACGATCCAAGTAGCATCCCCCAGGCAGCGCTCCTCGGCACCGGCCCTGTGCCACCCTGGAGTCCTGCCCACAGAGCCTACATTTTTTACCATAAAGATCCATTTTAATTTCTAGCCAACGTATCTCTCTGTTATCACTCATCTAATAAAAGCTTCACGCCTTCACAGCCCCAACATCCCCAGCTTCTCCATATTTTCTCCCGTAGCTCTGTATTGCCCACTTAAGATTTTAACTCAAACTCTTCCTATGTGCTCAGCATCCCCACAGGGACAGTCCCTGCTCCCCAGCCCACATCCAGGCAGCAGGGACAGAAAACTGCCCCGGTTGTGGGGAAATTAGCAGCAGCCACCCGTGCCATTGATGCAGCCAGCACTGAGAGAGGTACTGGGCTCTACAAGCTGGAAACAAGACAGAAACGCACCCAGAAACAAGCTGCAGCCACTCTCCTTTCCTCTTCAGGCTCTCTCCAGCATGGTCCCCAAGGAAGAATCTTGTCTGCTTGCTAAGAGAAATCAGCTGGGTTTACCTGGCCCCGCTTGGCTTGCCTCCGCCTTAGCTGCCTCTGCAGACTGAAGAGGCACGGCAGGAGACTGAAGAGGCACGGCAGGGTGAGTGTGAATTTATAGGGTGCTTTCCCCGGCCACTGCTCCTGCGGGCAGCGGAAGGGGCATTGTGCAACCCACCGCAGCTTCCCATGCCACCCTGGCTCCCCATTCAGGGTGGCGGAGGAAGGGACCAGGTGGGCTGTATCCCCCTGTGCTGGGTTTTGCCGGCTAGAAGATGGAATTGCCTGCAGGAAGTAGGGGATGGGGGGAGGCTGTGCCCCCATATTGACTCTCACTGCTGTTTTGAGCACCCCAACCCCTTCTGCTGTACCATCAGCTCCAGCAAAGCTTGCCCAGGGCACTGTCACACCCTCAGCATCAGCTCTGTGCCCCGCTGAGCTTCCCACACAAGGGGTGCTGGTCCTTTGGAAACTTCCGCTCCCCTCCCCATCCCTGCAGCCCCAGGACTCTCCAGCAACAAAGGAAGTGCTGGAAATGGTGCTTGACCTCTGCCGGGAGTGCAGGAAACTTTGCGGCTGGCTTCGTCAGAGGGCCAGGCTGATTTTGAGAAACACAGGGCAGCCCATGATGCTGTTGCCCAACTTCAGAGAAGTGAGCCATGGCTTCAACCAGCTTCCGCTTTCCGAGAGTCCAGGGTCACACAGGTTTGCAGCAGTTCCCCCCTGCAAGGAGCATCTCCCTCACCCCCCCGCAGTCAACGTCACAGCCTTCATCAGCGTGTGGAACTGAGACAGGCGACTGCAAGGTACCACGGCACTGAGGGCCATCAGCACCTGGGAAAGGATGCACCAAGGGTGGGAGAACATGGTAGCAGCCCTGAGGGATATGTTTGCCAGACCCTTTTAAAAAGGCTTTATTTTTCAAAATATACAGTTTATTTACAGTTGTAGTGCCTACAGTTTTACATATACTTTATTCCAAACCTTTAAATATCTGCAGTAAACATTAGGAGAAAAAAAAAAAAAAAAATCACAGGATCAGCAAAAAAAGGCATCTCATAGCAATTCTGTTCATTGAAGTTTGAGTTTCAAGTAGCCAATGTCTACAAAAACATGAACTTGATAAATCTGGTAGAGAGATACAGGTGCACTGGTTAGAAAAAGGCAAAATCCAGACCTGTGGGATCCCCACCCCAAGGGCCACAGGCCAAGAAAACCCTGTGCTGGGATCGGGCCAGGAGAAGGACCCGGGATATGGAAGCCCCTCAGCACGGGTTAGCTGATGGGGTTGACTGCAGTGTGTTGAGCACCCTGGGGAGGGGGCACCATGGAGGGCCAGGGGCTCTGGGGAGGCTCCAGTGAGGTGCCGGGGTGGAGGAAGGAGGGCAGCATCAGGCACTTCATCTCTCAGGCAGCAGACCTGCCCGCGCATCCGTGGCCTGGAGCGGGAGGGTGGCAAGGAAGGGGCAGGAGCCCCCCAGGGAGCCCTGCAACCTCCTCCTCCTCCTTCCCCATATCCTTGCCCCTCCCCGGTCCCCTTTTGTAGTGCCGCAGCTGGACCACAGCAGACCACAGGGATGCTCTGGTGTGGGGCCACTGCTGTGGCACAGCCCCCGGGAAGGGGGCAGGGGCCAGACGGCTTCGACGAGGGCTGAGGAGAGATGCCAGCCCCAGCCCAGGAGGGACGGAGCTGGCAGCTGCGTGCCACGCCGGGGCTGTTAGTCCTCTTTCTCAAAGGTCTCCTCGGGGATGAGCGTCCGGAAGGGGTAATCCCAGAAGCGGGTGCTGATGCCAAAACCTGCGGGCAGGGGAGAGAGCGCTCAGCCCACAGCACTGCCATCACCGAGATGCCACCGGGGAGAGGGTGTAGCTTGCTCAATGTTAACCAAGCCGGTGCCACTGTCACTGAGGCCGGCAGGGGGGGGGGCAGGCAGCCTGAAGGGC